TATTGACCAAGACAGCTGTCAAATGCAACGGATAACATCTAAGGAGGTCATTCGAATAAGACATTTTTTCTATATGTCAAGCTCAACATTGAACAAGAAGATTCTGAGTTTTCGACATCGGAGTGTTCTAAGTGGTTTTAGGTCGTGAATGACAGATAGAGTTCAAAACACATTTTCATAGCACTGATCAAGATTTGGCTTAGGTTGTTAGACCTTTAAGAATGATCACATCATGTCTCTTGTGTAATTCTTGAAACCCATGTCACGATCTACACTCAGTTCGTTGGTCGGATCAAGCCATTTGCCTCATGTCGTTTGTAACAATGTGGCTATTCTCAACTGTTAGTTCGAGCATACATTCCTCGAGACAAATTAGATCGCGGCATAATCATGAAGTTCTCAAGATTCAATTCTTGAACTTTAAGAACTAGGGAGCTTTTGTTATGCCTAAAAAATCAAGGCTAACGTAAGCTTACATCAACAAGCGCCAATCAGAGTTCAGGAAGGCTTTGTGCCATCCAAGAATTTCCACGTTGACCTAAGACAGAAAGAATACTGTTGTCATCAACTTATCGGGTTCAGGTTTTGTCTATGAGTGACAAAGGACGGCACACATGTCCAAGTCCCGGATAATTTGAGGACCGCACACATGTCCAAGTCCCGGATAATTTGAGGACATTTCCTAAGTTATTAACCAATGGGAAGCAAGGAAAGACTTGCACGACACCTACCCACTTGCAGATTTGTAATCATTACCTTGAATTCCTCTACTATAAATAGAGGACTCCCCCTCGCATTTTCGGGATTCTGATACTGAACCCTCATTTTGATTGTAATCTTTATTTTTAGAGAAAAGATAACCTACAAGAAAGAGACTGACTTGATATTCTCTCTGAATACTCAGTTATTGTACCTCTGCTCGTTGTTTATTATACGTGACCTCTTGTAATCTCTCATATATAAAAGAAATAGTGGACATAAGATTCGCTTTAAGCATCCGAACCACTTTAAAAATCATCTCTCTTATTTATTATTCAGTCTTTATAGTTGATTATATTGATTAGCTCTCTCATAATCATTCACGTGTAATTTCTAAGAAAACCTTAGCACTTTGCATGTGCGAGTCGTTGGTGTCAAAATCACTCATCAATAAGGCATTTAACTTGTTAGATTTGGTAAAGAATGGGTTTGACAAAAGAGAAGATGTTTGATGCCAAAATCAAATCTCTAAGAGAGCTCTAGCAAAAAGATGTGTGTGCCTTAAGGAAAATTCAACAAGGATTTTCGGATGTCATATTTCCACGAATAATTGGAGTTGCTTCTATAGGAAATGAAGCATGGAAGATTTTACAAATTGAGTGTCAAAGGAGTGATAAGGTAAAAACCATTGAATTCCAAACTTTGAGAAGAGATTTTGAAAATTTGAGGATGAGAGGGTAATTTGTTGTATGAATTTTTAGATAGATTTACTAAGTTAATTAATCAAATGAAAATTCACGATGAAGGGCTAGAAAACATAAAAAATATGAAGAAAGTGTTGAATAGTATACAAAATAAGGTTGATGTGATTGTTGCTGTTATTGAGGAGACTAAAGACTTTTCTGAGTTGAGCTTGCAAGGGCTAATGGGATCGTTAAATTCTTTCGAACAAATATTGTTGCATCCATCTAAAAAATCAATAGATAGCGCGTTTCAATCTAAGCTTAAATTAGGACCCAAAAGTCATGATAAAAGGGTCATCCAATTTTGACCAAAATAGAAGTAAGGGAAAAAAAAGGATAAGTTTGATTCCTTAAGGAAACGACAAAGGGAACTATGAGAAGAAGCAATATGGTGGTGAAGAACAATCTCGGAAGTGTAGTATTTGTAAACAAAGTGGTTACATGGAAGAATATTGTTGGTTTACAAGGGAAGCCGCAGTAACTAATTGAAAGAAGTTTAGGCACTTACAAAAAGACTGTAAATTCGGAAAGACATAATGAAGCAAGTTGTGTAGAAGCAATAAGCATTGAAGACATAAGCTGCATAGAAACAAGAGGTCACGCACGACTCAAATCGGTTTTTTGCCTGCTAGAATGCAATCCAATAGTGAGAAGAAATATAGTTTCTAGATAGCGGTTGCACTAACCATATGATCCTAGAAACAATAATATTTTTCTGGATCTCGACTCCAACATTAAGTCTCAAGTAAAGCTTGGGAATAATGCACTTACTCAAAGACAAAGGCACCACTGGAATTCAAACAAAGAAGTTCAGAAGCATTCCAGAAGTTTGTTCTTTACTATGACAATTAAAGTGTTATCCATCTAGTAAGAACTTTAATTTCCACTATCGCTCCAAACATATTGATGAGAGATATCATTGGATTCAAGATGTGTTGGATATGAAGTTGTTTCAGGTTCAAAAAATCCATATCGGTCATAATGGCTTGGATACGATGATTACGGTTTTGCTTAAGGAGATTCTTAAAGCTTGTAGGCAAGCAATGGTCTTGATGGAAAGCGCCCCACGTGAGGCAGAATAAGAGATTTGCTGGGTTGTCGTCCCATGTAGGCGTGAACACATATGATGAACTCATAAAGTCCAAATAAATAAAAATGAGCGTAAAACCTAGCTTCCGAAAAGTGTACGCTGCTACTTTACTTGGGAAGTTTGATGAAAAAATCAATGTTTTAATAACCAATCCAAGGTGAAACCCGGCAAAGTTGCCGGGTCCCGGGTTGACCAGTTTAACCGATTTTATCAGAAAGTTTAAAATTCAGCTAATACGCCCCCAAAACTTACAAGTAAGTCCCTACACGTTTGAAATTTAGCAAACACACCCTAAATACAAATTAGCGGCAGCGACACACGAAATGCAATTCCAATTATCCTTTGAGTCATTCCCCAGAAAATCTACCCGAGATTTGGTCGCTAGATCTCACCACCTCTAGTGTCGACAACCCTCCCCATCACCACGAAAATACTCCCCTCAACCTCCTAACCAAATCCCATCTCACCCCACTCTCATTTGCCTCGCCAATCATCGACAACATTCGACTGTTGTTGTCATGGGTTTTTGTTTTCGATTTTCGGTTGATTCACTCATTAGAAATCACCTCCATCGCCACCATTGCACTCATTGACCCTTCTTCTTTCAAAACCCCCAACATCCTAACCTTCAATTGTTCGCCGATCATCAACCCAATTTCTAGAGTTTTCAGTGAATAGAAAAATTGTTTACCCGACTAGGTGAAGGCCTCAGGTTTCGATTGAACCGGTTCAACTAGCTGGGCTGGGTTATAAAACATTGGAAAAAATGACAAAGGAAGAGAGAAAATGGGTTGTTTTTGGCTTAAAAAGCTCATAATCCAATGATGAATCTTCCAACTATTTTAACGAAATTTCAATATGTTATTGGTGATCTAGCTATTCACATATCGATTTGGATTATTATTTCCTCTCTTGTATTTCTTCAGTTGGAGAGAGTACACAAATTTTTCATTTTGATGCAATTGATTGAAAATCACTTTTGAGTGAAGAATTTGATGATTATATCTCCTACTTTTCTCCAGAGAATTGTAACTTATTATTTAATGAGTAATCCTACATATACAACATTTCTCATACAATATTATGTGGCAAGATATGATTAGCTAATTTAAAGTTAAAATTAAACTTTCACCCAATCATATCTTGCCACATAATGTTGTACGAGAAATATTGTATAAAAATGATGTATCTGTAGTATTATTCTTATTTAATTACTTAACGTTTTTCTGTTAGCCTTTATGGTAATCATTAACATAATTCTACACAAAATAGATGGATGGATTACCTCTGTCTTGAAAACACAAGACTCTGAGAATTATATTTCTATCAAAATAAATAATATACAAAGACAAGCGCACAAACACAAGCAGAATCTAAAATTAGCACCTTCAGAATTTCTTCTGCTTCCTTTTCGGTCTTTCCACTTTTAATCAAAACCCAAAGACAAGTGCTATATTGATTATTCGTATGCCCTGCCAAACCAAGCATGAATTTAGCACCTTCAGATTCAAGTAATTTAAAAAAAACAAAAGCAATGGTATCAAAAAAATGGTTTGTTTAACTCCTGCTGTATAAAAATACTAATAGATTCTCTTGGTATGGTAAGCCCTTGTGCTATAGATGAGTATTGCTTCCAACGCTTCAATTTCCATCTCCTGCTCCTGTACATAGTTTGTAAATTAAGATAGAGAGAAAGCATTAGAAAAGAACATATCAACAAATAAAAAGACAAACCAATTCAATAATATATTAAATCTTGACTTATAATGACAATACCAATCGTTTGAATTTAAGTGAAAGTGAGAGGACAAACATGAATATATATATAAACAAAATTTTTTGAGACTTTTGAGATTTAATTATTATTAATATTTAGATGAATATGAAAAGACTAACATAAATATATATATATATATATATCGTTTAATTAGACCTTTAGATGCCTACTAATAAATAACAATTCTAGAGCGATTCAATCGAATACTACGTGGTTATCTTATAGAGAGTTTATGCAGTCCTACATCAAAAGTATGCTTCAGAATTATATATATTTAGTGATTGTGTTTAAAAGTTTTTCCAATCATTTGTCTAAATGTCACTGGTTTTGTCCATATTATGTCTTATTATTTTATTCATTTATAAAAAAAATAAAAGCCACTTCCAGTTTTTTTATTTAATATTTTTTAATTTTCAGAAAACACATTTTTTTCATAAATTTTAAAGAAAACACTTTCTATTTTAATTTTAAAAAATAAAATGAGCATTTCAAATCATTAAAATACAAAAAGTCATTTTCTATTTAAATTTTTATTTCATTATTTTGAAATTAAAAAAATGAGTACAAAATTAAATTTCCAAAGGTCCCTTTAAATATTTTATTTCTACTATACCCCTTTTTTTTCCAGCTTATCAATTTTTTTTTTTTTTTTGTTTTTTTTTTTTTTTTTTGTTTTTGTTGACTGTTTTGTTATGCAGCCTTAAAACCCTAAGCCCACTTCATCAATCTGAAATCTCAGAGAACAAATCTAAAACCAATATCTTAAAATTTCACTCTCTCATTCTCTCTGCATTATGTTCAGATTCGCTAAATCAGTATCTCTTCAGAGCCTTTCTCACCAATTCACTCAAAAATGCTCTGCAAGTGGAACCCCAAAAGGGAAAGCCAAATTGAAAACTGGGGTGCGATTGAAACGCAATATAGTCACAACCAAGAAAGGCTCCGCATCCAAATCCGAAAAACCCTATATGCCCGATGCGAAGCAAAAATTATACGAACAATGCCTTAACGCCCCCACGCCCGTACGGTATCTCTCCCCAAAAGACCGTAAGCGCGAGATCGAGCGCGAGAAATTGGGGCTTGTGAGCAAAGATCGGCAGCGAGAAATTGAGATTTTGAAGAAAGGGGGAAAAGAGTCTATGGGTATTAGTAAAGAGCCCATGATAATGGGGACGCCGGGATTGGACTTGATTTCGCTTGGGATAGTTGATGCTGAGAAGATTCCGAAGTATGAGTTGACGGCTGAGGATGGGCAGCGGTTGGCGAAGGAGTATAGTCGGATTTTGATGAGGAAGCATAGGGCGAGGCAGGCCGCAGAGACGAACCTTTTGAGGTTGAAAAAGGAGGCCATCGAGGCATTGCCGGAGGGGTTGAAGGAGGCGGCGCTGGTACCGGATTTGACGCCATTTCCGGCGAATAAGTTTATGGCCACCCTCACGCCGCCTATTGAAGGGTACATGGAGCAGGTTACAGAAGCTACGAGGAGAGGGTCTGGGAAGGAGAAGCTCAGATGATTCGCGGTAAGATGTGGATCCGGTAATGTTATGGAGATGATTTGATTTCTTGTAGCTTACAACATAGTTGGCAATTATAACACCCAATGTCAATTTAGTGTTATTGAAACAAATTTGATTTCTATTATTATATAAATATTACACTTGAATGACAGAATGTCACATTAGTAAGTTCTGATGTTAGTAACAAATTTTCTTTTTACACATTTAAATTCTAGAGTGTCTAAGTTTTTAAGTTAGTTTGCATCATTAAAGTTTGCTTCTGTTGCACTTTGAGTTTTTATATTAACAAGTTGATAACACAAGGACACGATAACATAGCCATAACCCAGTTGAGTTGAAGAGGGTAGATCTATATTTGATTTGCGTTTTAGTTGAAAATATTTTGATTTGCTGTTTTTATTTTGGATTATTTTCATATTCAGGTAGTGGTGCATAAACTTTGCTGAAGTTTTTGGTCTACCTTTCTTTGCTATGTTATGATCTGTGTACCTGACTAGGATGTTGTTTGAACTGAAAAAGCTGGCCCTAATGGGAAAACATGAGATGATTGGACTATAAGGATTTTTCATGCATCATTTTTTGTTTCTAAATGATTAGATAGTATTGTTTGTTGAAATCTCCATTTTGATTTATTTGCACTTGCTAGGTACGGTTACAGCCTATTTGATTTAAGTTTCACAGTGAAGTAATCTCATGATTGTGCTATGCTTCTTTATCACGTCAATCAACCCATCTACAGAGCTCTTTTAGATGATTAGGCAGTCTTGTCATTGAATGGCCAGTGATAACTTGTAGGTTGTAATTAACCTAGGTTAATGGATTTTCCTATTTGCCATTTAAGAATTGTGATGCTGTACATTGCTGCAGTGACTCATAGAATTTTGATCTATATGTCCAAGAACTTTCACCTTTTAGAGAAAATAAAGTGCAGCTGTAGAGAAATTATGGGTATTTCTGGACCAGTTGAAAAATATGTGAAAAATTTGTTGGTTTTGAGTGAGTTTGTTCTGTATCATGATTTGTAACAATCTTCTTTGAGCAGGGCAATCAGTTCCAGCTTGTAATAAATGGTTTAAAGGAGTTTTTATCTAGGAAAATGCCTATAACTGAAGAAAATAAACAAGTTGATTGTATTTTAGTTTTCACCTTATAACATAAGGGCAGCTGTTTGGTAATCACTATTGAATAAGGAGAGAGAGAACTGTGATTAATGAACCAAGGCTTAATTTTAAATTAAAAGAAAAGAGAAGAAACAAACAGCACAAAATATGCTAATGTCAGATTCTGATATCGGAGATTACTGAAGGTTTTAATTATTCAATTGCTGGAGGCAGTGAGAGCTTTTACTTGGTATTTCATGTTGATAGATATTATCACATAATGGTAGTCTCTCTTGTTGAATGATTGATACATGAAATTTGGTGTCTTTCTGAACTTGATTGAGTTTCTGGGGCAATTTCATTTTCTTATTTGCATTATATATTTAGAAACAGGTATATATTTGACTACCTAAGCCTTGCTATTTGAAGTGCTTAATTTTATGGTGTTTTATCTGTTTGAAGCTAAAAACACTCAGAAATGTGAAGAATTTTAATACTCAACTACAGAAATGCTAATGTTGTATCTCTTCTAGTGCAGATGGAGCTGTGCTTAGAAAGAAAGAGAACTCAAATTGTTAGATGAATGGTATTTCCTCTTAGTGGAATACTATTATTTGTGGTTTCAAGAGATAATGTAGTACCTAAGGAGAAATGCAATAATTGTTAAAATCGACACTTTTTCTTGTTCTTGGTAGTTTACAACTTCTAGTTTGGTTGAATTTTGTTATCAGTAGTACTTTCTCTACCCCTGTATTGACTTATGGTAAACTAGTGAAATTTTATCATGCATATTTAAATCCCTATTGAAGTAGTCTAGTCGATCTTGGAGCTCCATTCGTAATTATTGGGTTGCGTACACTCCCCTCTCAAGAGATGTGCTCTGGTCCTTAGGACTGTCATTTTATTGAAGTAGAATTCATATTCTCCCACTAGATGCTAATTTTTCCAAAATTTTAATGATTTGTAGCTCCCCAACCATCAAGGAAGGAAATAGTGAAAGAGAAAGGTGGATCCGATTATCTTCAAGTTATCTTGAGATTTTGCGACTAATATCGAACAGAGGAGCGATCTCTTTACTTGAATTGACACGATTCATTGTATTGGTGGGTTTCTTTTCCAACTGAAGTGACATAACCTTGTGGAAATACCATGAAGTGTAAGTTACTATATACTAGGTGATTTGAAGATGGAAAATATATATTAGGAATACTGTTGTTGGTTAAAGACTTGGGATTTTTTGCAATTGTAAGGTTCGGATAGATTCAATGAAGTAACGTGTCAAAAGTGTCGATCTACTAGGGAAAATGTCTCCAACAATTTGTTTAGAAAGAGTCGTTTCTTTATATACGTGCCAACTTTTTTTCTTTTAAAATGGTAGTCTTAAGTGATCTGAAAGCAACTTCAACTGTTCCCAAATAGGGATAGTTATGCTTTTTCCTGGCTTCACCACTGAAGGGTTTTGGAAAGAGATGGAATATGTCTCATTTCCTCTATGATCGGGGAGAGTCTTCCACTATTCTGAACATATAATTAGTCTTGAAGCTAATCGGGCCTTTGTTATAGACAGTGTGTGCCGGACTCACGTTCTTATTTTTACTCGAGTCTTATTGGTTGCTCATTGAAGTTCAAAAGTACCTCATAGTTAGTCTTATCTTGGAGAAACTAGATAGCAGGTTGTTTATAAATGTCCTTCAGATCTGCAGTCTTCTTTCATATGATTCTCTATACATTTAATGGAAGGTTAAGTTAAAGGAAAATTTTGATTATTCATACAAATTATTGAGTTAATGCCGGTAAAGATTACAATTTTAAAAGAAAAAGAGTTGGGTGAACTGTTTCTTCAGTGCTATAAAGCTATATGTTGAATGTACCATGAAATAACTAGTAACTATCTTACCCAATATGAAAAAATAACAAAAGACAATAACACATTCACAATAAAGTTGAACATAAGGCGGATTAAGACACTAATTGATGATCAGACTTCTGCTTATAATATACTTGGCCGTCAAAATCATTAATTTAATTATAAAGTCATTCCACGGATGACACCATTGGACTAAGGTGTTGTTTGGCCAGGAAAGTTTCCTCATCAAATATCTTTAGTAAGGAAAATATATTCTCGCCAAAATCTTTATTTAGTGATAATTTTTCGTCACCATAGAACATTTTTTGTGAGGAAATATTTCCTCACTGGTGATTTTTTTGCGAGGAAATTTTCCTCAATAAACATGTTTGGTAGGAGTGTGCAAAACCGGATATTCGATCTAGTTTTGCATTGTTCTGGTCCTATCTTTAAATTTGGATTAGGATAAAACTTGACCCAAATCCGATCGGTTTTGATCTGATCCAAGTTTCCAGATCAAGAAATCGGATATCCGGATTTCATCCGAATTTCAATAAAAAGCATGATTAAAATTAAATAGTTCAGCATTGCTTTTATAAAAGTTTTATCCATTATATAATCCCAATTACATTGAGTTAAACTAAGCCGCAAGTTGTAGATTTTGGCTTGGTTCGTGGATTTTTTGGTTTTCATTTGAAATCAATGTTACAAATTTTATATAGGTTCGTGGATTTTTAATTTGGGTGTGTGCTGTGAGTTTGTATTTGTAGATTACCGCTTTTGAAGTAAGCTTTTCTAACTAGGTTTGTGGATTTTTAATTTGGGTGTGGGTTGTGAATTGGTATTTGTAGATATCCGATTATGAAGTAAATCTGAAATTGAGTTTGTGGATTTGTGGGTTGTTTTTGTATTCGTGGTTGTTTAAATCTGAGGTTTTGGTAGGGTTTGTGGGTTGCTTTTGTGTTTGTGGTCGTTTATATATGAAGTTTTTTCATTATTTATGGATGAGTTTATGAGTAATAGTTGACCTACTCTTAACAATTTCGGCAGCTGTGGTTTAAACAATTTTGGCACATCAGATCCCTTTTTCTTCCTCTCTTTGTTCTTCTTCCTCAATCCTTTATTTTTCTTTTGAGCACAATTTCGGATTTGAACAATTTTAGCAACATTTCTTTGGATTTCTGAATTGATTTTTTTGAAGATTTGGATAGTTTGATCGGCAGCAATGGTTTTAACAATATTGGTAGACTGTCGCCGTTGGCAACAAGCTGCTGCTATTGGAAAATGATTAAAAAAAAAAAAGTTATTTTGTCAGAGAAGTTGAGAAGGTGTTAAAACTCGATGTCGCTGGGAGGTCAAACCGCCAAAGTTGTTGCCGCTGGCTGATTGCAAACGACGGAGTGAGAGAGCTGAGGGGGTGAGTAAACGACGATGACAATCGAGAGAGAGTGAAATATTGCACGATGTCTGATGGAGTTTTGAGTTAACAAATGGAACGGGTTTTTGTATTTAAAATAAAAACGGTGTGGTTTTCACTCGGGTAAGTAAAATCCGGATTCGTACATGTATCTGGTTGTTTGGTACATCTGATCTGGATTTTTGGATATCCCATTCTTTCAATCCGATATCTGATCTGAATTTTCGAATATCCAATTTTTTCGGATTGGATCAGATTGGATATCTGATCGGATATTAAATTATTTTGCACACCCCTAAATTGTTTGGGAGGCAAAATATTAGAGACCGTCTTTACCAAAGGAAACAAATTATTCTTACTAAAAAAAAAAATTTTAGCATGAAATTTGGAATCCTAACTAAATGTGTGTTTGAGATTGTTTTTAGGCTACAACAAAAAAGGTATTTGGTAATCAACTTTCAAAAATAGATTAAGTTTGAAACATATTATAAAATAATTAGTTTTATAGAAGGATTCTAAAAGCTAGGATCAGTAGCTTTTAAAATCAGATTATTTCTTAAGCTAATTTTATGTTGTAAACTGATTTATATACTCATACATAATTATTCAAATTACAAAATGAACTTAAATCATCATTTATTCATCAAATAAATAATTTTATAATTTATTCATAAATTAAAAATATAGAAATACTAATATACTATTGATTATTGGCACCACTGGTGGTGAATGATTGTCGATCAATGATAGCCTGTCAATGTTTGCGATTTTGAAGACAAAACTTGTCCTATCAGATGTAATATTCGGTCGAGCTAGTAATTCTTTGAGAGATATGACAAAATCTACTAAAGAACTTTTGAAAACATAGGTATATAATGTAAATTCCAAAAGTTCTAATTCAAATTCATATAAATATATACACAAAATAACTAATATGCTTTGATAAGTACAAAATATTCTTGGACAGTGTCGCCAAACTCCTCCACTTACTGACGTCCCACCCAACCGTAAATCATCTCGTACCTGCAAAACAGTAAAATAACGGAGTGAGCATTAATTGCTCAGTAAGTAAACCAAACTGCACTACTGTTTTTCCTCCGTTACTCATATTCTGATTTTCCTTTTCTCACTTTAATGTTTTCTAATATTCTACATTCTTTCTAATATGCTGCATTCTTTTCTAATATTTTGCTTTCTTTTCTAATATTCTACATTCTTTTCTAATATTCTGATTTGCTACTTACCAGCGTGCAAAGATAATTAATAAAACTGTACATCATCGAGCACATAAGAAATTCTAAATAATGCAAGTAGCATAATACATATGCAGAATAATAAACTTTTTCTGAGAAATGAACCCTCTTTTCTTTTCTGATTTCTATCTCCTATTATGTCTCTCTTTCTTTTCTTTTCTGTTTGCTGTTCTTTATTTTGTTTCTCCTTCCTTTCTTTTCTGTATTCTACTCTGGTTTACCGATCGGACTAGGCTGAGGCATGGATTTGGAACCCTGGCCATGTGAGTGTATTATGAAATTCTTTCTGGGTACATTCCTCATCCACATGCACTGCTGACAGACTGTACTAATTCTGTTCTGCTATTCTGAGGCTGCTCACTGATGGCAGCTTGCTTGTAGGAATTTTCTACTGGTTACAGTCCTCACCACATGCACTGTTGATGAACTGTACAAATTCTGTTTTTCTATTTTGAGGCTGCTTGCTGATGGCGGCGTGCATGTGGGAAACTTCTACATCTCTGTCACTCACGAGTTTCCCATCGCAACAACCTTCTAACATAACGTTCTGTAGAAAGAGAATAGAAAGAGAATCTATACACATTTCTAAGTAAATTTTCAAGCTATGGAAATTCTACACTTGCATTCTTTAGTAAATGAGAAAATATATATATTTGCATGTTAGCTTAAAAAGAATCTATAAGCCATTTTCTTTTCTTTCTTTCACTCATTCTTTGCTAACATATTCTTTAATATTCTCATTTACCAAATCAAGGCTATATATAAATAAATCATATGCACAATATATGCATGATCAAGCCCATTCTTTGATGTTCTTTCCAAGTTCAAATACACAAACTTGAGAATTCATTATGGCATATTGATATGTCATGGCATATACTACCATTCTCTATTATCAACAATGCCATATCAAAGTAATACTTTAACATACAATTCTTTTCTAACACTTTCCCAAGTGTGCTATTCAAGAAGTACTAAAGGGTCAAGTAACTTGAACCATGCACTAAAAACCCTTTATCTCATTGAACTAACTTGACCAAGTGATATTCTAATGCTTGGTTAAGCCAACATAATTTTTCTACTCCAATTCTTGCCTTTCTCTAACCCTTTCTTCAATAGGGTTTAACCAACTCATGCATGCATTTTCTCTTTGGATTTTCATAAAGCAATTCATATGCATATGCAAATACTTAGTTGGCTACACTTCTACATCTCTCTAAATCCACCAAAATTTGAGCAAAAACTCACTACTTATAGCCCTAAACCTGGCCAGTTTCTACAATTCTCAACGCTTCAAAATTTCAATAATAATTCTTCCATAGCTTCACTAAATCACCACATACTCAGACACTGTTTCTCATGGCTGGAAATTACACATCATTCATCATAAAAAATAGCCAATAATTCTCACATATAAGCACATACAAACATGCAAGAATCATTCTACACAAGTCTTGGTCAAATCAAGGCTAAAATTGGGTTTACTTACCTTGAATGTGTGATATAACCTCCCTTTGCTAAAAGTCTCTTTCTCTTGGACCTAGATCATATAAAAACCATAAGAATTTAAAACTTTAATCACACATCTTATGTTAGAATCTTACCTTTGGATGCTTTAGGATTGAAAATCTACAAAAATCCAAGCCAATCCTATGAATTCTCTTTGAGATTTGGTGAAGTAATTTGAGAGAAAAATGGGTGAGGGTGGCGTGTACAAGGGCTGAAAAATGGTTAGGGTTTCTTCTAAGAATAATACTTTGGGTACTAATGGATGGGTACTAATCTGTGTACTAACTAAAGCATAGTACCCGTACTATGCGCATAGTACGGGTACTATGCTTTAGTTAGTACACAGATTAGTACCCATCCGTTAGTACCCATCCGTTAGTACCCATAGCATCACTCTTCTTCTAATGAAACCTTATATCTAATAATATATAGATGTATTCCCATTTTGCCCTTGCACTTTCTATGAAATCCCATCTATATCCTTTAGTTAATTACCAAAATACCCTCATTTCTATTATCTTCTTCACATTATTTTGCTTCCTTTCACTCTCCACTTTTTTATCTAGTTATGAGTGAAAAGACCATTTTACCCCTAATGAAGTTTTAAGGAGTTTTCTTCACATTTGTCTGAGGTAACTTCAAAGAAATCCAACTAAAGGTATTAGGGCATAAGTAAAAATTACATACCTTGATGTGG